ATATATATATATATATATATATATATATATATATTCGTTTATTTATTTATTTTTTTCTACTGGTGTATGCTGGTGTGTGTCTGAGTATATATTTGTGCGTATGTCTGTTTGTTCGTGTGATTTTGTCGGTATGTCGGAGTGTTGGTGTGTGTAAGTGCGTGTTTAGAATGTTGATGAATTTGGTGTACAGCAGCAATGCATGATATGCTAAAAAAAGTTCGTTATGCTAAGTGGCAATGTTGGTGTTTTTGTTTAACCAGGAATTTTTTTAACGTTTTGTTATTCAACTACAAATGAAACTGTCAGTCTAAAAAACTTTAATCATATCTCGTTGCATTTTTTTAATGCTCAATAATTCCTAAGAATTTAGGCATTCAGTACAAAAATTTTATTTTTATTTTTTATCTCTAATTTTTTATTTCTGTAAGGACTTCTAATGTTTGCTGCTGTTGTGTTTAGGGGAAGGGAAGGGGGGTAGGGGAGGGTGCGGAAGAAAATGTATTTTTATATTCTCTTTCTCTCGTTCTGTTCACTTGGTCTGTATTTGGTTAATGATAAATTTAGTTTTGGTATTTTTTTATATTTGGAATTCTTGTTGTTTTTTTCTGATTTTGGTTTCTGTTCTATTAAACAGGAGTGGTGAACCATATGTGTGTGTCTGTTTTTTGCGTGTTTTGTGTAACTTTTTTTTGCTCGTTGGTTGAAGGGACTGTAGTTTTTGCTTTTGTTGTCAAAACGTCTAAATTCTTCTTTTTTTAGTGTTTTTTGCAACAGGAAAGGGCTTGTTAGATGTAATAAAATAGGTGGCTAATTATTATTTGTGATGGACTAATATATAACTGCAAGCTCTTCTTTTTTTTCCAAAGCATTTCTGTGTTCATTTGTAGGAAAATTGTCCAAAAGTTTGCCGAGCACAAGTTCATCTGGAGATGTAAATGAAGAGGACGTTAATGAAATAGTGGAGAAAAACTCGGAATCCAAGTAAGTGATCTTCTTTACACGACTTCGCATATTTTGATTTTGCATCTAACTGGAGTGTCTTACCTAACTTATATCTCCTATCATTCATTTGCTGTAGCCTTTCTTTGTCTTGGCTTTTCTCAATATTTTTTGGGGGATATCTGTTGTTCTGACAGATATTTGAGTGTTTTAGGGGATCCAAGTGTGATATATGTAAAGAAACTTTTCCGCATAAGAATGCCTATAGAGCTCATTGTAACTCCCTTGGTCACTTGCATAATACCAAAATGATTCTCGAACAACAACCAAATAAGCTTCAACTAACCGCTGCTCAGGTTCTGTTTTCATATTTTGGTGTGAGATTAATAGTGAATTTATCTGTAGATATTTAAAAACAAATTCATTCTTTGTAGCCGTGCTTTGACGCGCTGTTATCTAATTCTTTCTTTTTGTTTTTCTTGTTGAGTTCCAGCGGTTTGATGCTTACTTTTTAAGATTTTTGCTGCGTTACAGTCTCCACCAAGTCCACAAGCATCGTCCTCTAATTCTCAGTCATTAATCACTTCTCAGGGTTCTAAGCCATTTAAATGCAATATATGTAAATTTGCTTGCGGTCAAGGATCAACACTTGATATTCATGTTAGGTTAGCGTCGTTCCTTTTCTGGATCGTCCATTGCTTACGTATCCCGATGTGTTACGCATTTAATTAGTCATTTTTTTTTTTGTTGTTGTTGTTGTTGCTGTTTTTGTTGTTGTCGTTTTCCCACTTTTTTAAATGGTTTCATCTATAGATTTAGCTGTAATGAAAAGTAATCTTTAACTGAGTGTACTTGCCTTTACAGGTCTGTTGCTCATCAGTCACGCCTATGTAAAATAAATGAACTGGTTAGCCAAGGTGAACTTGATTTGAAGAAACCACTTTTGGAGCAACCGGGAGGGCAACCACAAAAATCAATCGGTGAATTATTGTCGAAAAGTAATTCTGAACAAGTAAGATTTTTTTCTTGAACATAGTATTTTCACGTTTGCTTAAGATTTAAATGATATTTACTGAAATTGATCTGATAGATTTAACATGTTATGTTATTATTGGTTTGTTTGTTTTCTTTTTTTTCTGATGATTTGTTGTGTTCCAAAGCATCGCAGATAGAGTGTACTGTAATGAACGGCTGCGTTCGATTAATTTTTTGTGGTAGAAATTGGCGCTGTATACAGCGATTAAAATTGGACTGTCAGAGCACACTAATTTCTAGTTAATTATTATTTTAATGCTTTATTACTAGTTTCTATTTGCATTAATTTTTTATCCTCTCTGATTTTTTTTTCAATGAAAAATTGATTTTTCGGACGAGTCAAATGTTATCTTTTGCACCATTTATTATT